GGGTCAATTGCAACATATCCTCGTAACATAGATTAATCATTAAAGAAGTGTCATAAATTCTATTTCGATGCATGCATAATTCTATTATTTAATTTATTAATTAATTAAAATTCTTTCACGTCGATCAAATCCTCACGTGTATTGCTCCTCTGCCATTGCAATCCATTGGCGGAAATCACACAGATACGAGTACCACGGGCTGACCGGGCAACGCTCTCGCGCAGTCAGTCGCACGATGAGTGCGTTTCCGAGCAGGCCTATGTTGCTTTGCTAACTGGTTAATTGCACTATGCGAAGCCTTTTATAAGGTAATATTAATTGTTGTCAAACCTGTCAGCGTAATGTATTTTGTGCAAACGCTTCCGAGCAACTTATACGTATTTTAGTGCATTCGTGTACATGCCAGACAAAATGGCTACTAACAAAGACTCGCACGGTGCGTGTATACAGTAGACCTCATTTAATTAGTGCTAGTGGGTTTGACTGCAATATGCAAGGTTCACAGCAGAGATTCCATGTAGTTCGTGCATTAACCACAATTACTCAACTACAAGCAATTACGATGTAACGTACAGTATGTACCGTCAGTTACGCGTTCGCTGATATTCTCTACACGCACATATTTCTTCTGTAACTGGAATTACGATGAAGCTTTCGACACATTCTGAACGTGTGCGGGCATGACTCATGGCGCCTCCTACTCCGGTGCGCGTCTTATCGCGCCCCCACCACAGCGCTGCCTGCACCGTCACAGTGGGCACCATCCCACTTACAGTGTGCGCAGTCTTCAATCTTCAAGCTGTCAACGCACGTATTGTATGTAATGTCTTTCTTGCAGGTTTGCCTCAAGAATTCAATTCTGTAGCTTCTGACTGCTTTTACAATTCACAGTATTATTAATTGTCTGAGAATAATCAATGGCACGGATACTTCATGTCTCTCTTAGGAATCAATTTAACGGCCGGTACCAAAGATTTCGTTAATTTTTGTAATAACTTACTTTAATTTCAATTATATGTATTAATCTCATTATGTTCCTTTTATTTTGGAGTGATGGTGACATCCGCAGTATTTATGTATAACAAACGAGAGTTTTAGTTCGTAATCTGCAACTGATCCTTCGACAATGGTAAGATCATTAGAGCTAGAGAAGGAATGACGAGATGAGCTAATAGAAAACCCCTAACAATTCCCAGTCCACTGCAGCACACCAACTCCGCTATTAGTAGTTTTCCCGTAAATATGAATGAAATATGGGCAATATTAAAGCAAGATTATCTCGCAGAGGACTCGAAGTTTTTCTTTTAACTTTTTCTTCGAAAAGTGTTAAATGCACTAAAAAAATATACAAACGTAATTCGGATGTAGTCTTTTGAATAAAAAAAACATATTTAATAAAACATCTTTCACGTCGTTTTATTACGGAAGTTTTTTGTACGTTATTACATTTGTTGGTGCTTTTTGAACTTTCTTATGAACTTTCACGAAAACTATAAAGTTTTCTGGGAAAATGAACTCAAAATTTCGCCTTTTCAGAAACGCTCGAACAACATTTGCTTTCAAACTGCTCCACATTCAATGATAATTGTAAAAAGGTAAATGTAAAAAGGTTTCACTCCTCTATGATAATCTTAAAGTCATACTTCATCTGCCAACAGCGAAACGATTTATAGAGAAAATGTAGAGGAAAAAGGACATATTAGACACCGATAGGTAGCAACTGGGAAGAAAACCAAAAAGCTAGCCCAGATTCTAGAGACTGGGAAACCACTACGAGAAAAGATTTGCCATTCTGGAGCAGTTTTAGTTTTCATTTTCGAATGACGAGAAAAATATGACGGAGTTTCAAAATATCGACACGCTAACTGGAAGGGACTTATTGAGACGACGGGAACTTTGGTGATTCCACCGTGCCAGAAAATTTTACAACCTCCTTCGGACCACCGCGACCAAAGTCTGGTACGCCATGATAGACGGCCTAGTGTTTAACTATTTAGAAAATGAAGAACCTATAATAACCAGTCTCCCAGAGATACGCATGGGGCAGTAAAACAACTCGGGCCTGTTATTTCAAACCAAAGCCCCCCTCCCCTAATATATAAAAATTACTAATAAATAATGTAATATACTAAATAATGAATTAATTTCACCACGCAACAAAAGTAACTTATAGCGGTTAATTTAAATTAGAAGAATTTCATTTATTTGTTGAAAATTTAACACCGTAATAATTTTTTCGGGGCATCAATTTAGTCGGAACCTAACGCAAGTTGGCCATTGTGGGAGCCCCAGCTAAAAACCGGGGTTCACGCCCGAAAATCCGTCCTGTTCCGCTCTCTGTGATAATCGCTATAATGTATGTTTACATAAGTTTGACAATAATAACGAATAAATTTCAAGATTATCCCAATGTTGAAGACTTCAACCTCCGAAGGCGCTTTCCTCACAGTATTTTTTTGGAGCATATACCCTTTTGTATTCACCGCCGAAATTTATGACAATTCCTCATTAAATGCTTGGAAAATAATTTTTCCTCGCAAACAAAGATATTTCCCTAATTTTTCCTACGAATATCAAATTTCCTGATAACTGCCATTCCAGTTCTCCCGCCACACTATTTCAGTCTATGGTCACGAACTTCGTCAAATGCATTTGCGTATCGATCGAACTGCCAACCGACTAAGACTCGCTAACCAGAGCATAACAAATATCACACCACAAATACGCGATCATGCCGTCTCCCTTTGACTGCCGCCTGTGTTCAGCGCTGCCACCATTGCATCCCTGGATGGCACTTGTGCTTGGATGCCAGCGTCGTCCTCCCCTGCCAACGACCGCCGGTGCCACATCAACACCCTTGCGCTCCCGCCAACGCAACACTGCACAGCCTCATAAATGAACGAATTCCCGGTGGCGGAGCTACAACACGTTGTAATGCAGTTTTCCTTTCATCGTATAGACGCCCGACCCAAGGCAAGGTAATGACTCCATCACCAACATCAGTGCTGCCTCATCAGTGGGATGACGGGAAGCGACGAATGGAAGAGTTTTCACACAATGCGTCTATCATTGCATAAGAAGAGGTGTGCTACTCTCTTGGACAAAATAATAATAATAATAATAATAATAATAATAATAATAATAATAATAATAATAATGATAAAACGAAAACAAACAAGAAACAGCAGAAAATGTGCGTTTCCACCGACATGTGACGTTTGTCAGAAATATTTCTGAGTACAGACCAATTTTTGCATTACTTGAATAAATGGATGCATATTTATCAACTGAAGTACTGGGCGAAAAAACTCACTAGCGATCTAGTATTGAGTGCGTACCTAACCTCAAAAAAACGCGCAGCGTGGTGGGCTGCACTATTGAATTGCTAGGAATCCATTCCCTATTTATGCTTCGTGACATTTTTTTATAAGATTACAGATTGACTGACTCCACAAAGGCTACTAGCCACAATACATCAGACCACTAAACCAAGGGCGCCTCCACGCTCTCTCGGTAGGACGTGAAGTTCAACACGCAATCTGATCAATCACGGTAATTATTTTACAGAGGTTTCCTTCTCGTGAATCCAAAAATGAGACTTCCAAAAATGATAAAATTTTAATTTTTTGACTTGCCTCTTATGTCATTAATATTATATTAGAGGCAATTTGTTCTCCATTATTGTATTTATGAGTACATGTGATTTAAATAACGTCATACAAAGTTTATCGAAAGCTATACCGTTTTCTGTGAAGACGCTCTAAACTCCGCATTTTCAGATTATTGCTTTTTAAAAAATTACACAAATGTATTTTTTTCAATATCTCTCCCACATTTAATATGCATATTTCCAGCAATTTGAAACACTTTCGAATTTGTGAGCCAAAGTCCATCAAATGACTTCTAATGATGTCATTTGAATTATTTTGGGCGGCGATAGATGGCAGCAGGAAGATGTATGCATACAGTATGTAGCAAGCTCGAATAGCTAGCCGAGACCAAAGGAAATAGAAAACTAATACGGGAGTCTGTGCCATTCTGTAGCACCACTACTTCATCCCCCCCCCCGTAATTGCGTCGTATGACGCAGAAGATAATCTGAGCACGAACGTATTTGCTTTCCTTTTTGTACTAGTAAAAGTGTAGTGTAGTGAATTCATCGAAAAAACACTTTACTAACAGCTGTTCGGCGTGGGTCACATGCATCTGACATGACTCAATAACATATTGGTCGTAAATGACGGAACATGTAAGGAAAACAACATATCTTCGGTTTGTAATGAAGACAACCATGCTGTCATGCGCCATAATTTCTAGAAAGCAAATTAGCTAATCAACCTGTGGTTCTCCAAGAGAGCGATTAACGCAAGGACGATATGTCTGTACTAATAGAAAGTGATAATTATCACATTACCGCTGAACCGAATTAGCCCACTTTGCTGAAAGTCGAAACTGGGGAAACGCGGAGTTGCAGACTGCTGTTCCGCTTATTACTCCCACATGTACGAGGGTTATCAACGGTTTCCAACAATATCAATAAAGTCCTGGTTCGCACGTAAATCAACCTCAAACTTTAGTTTAGAAAATTTACATGAAGTCGAACAAAAGTACTTCGGGAACGTTTTCGTGAACAATACAACTAAGAATTACCTTTGGCATGGCGGTATCGGAAAGATCGACGATTTTAATTCATGATATTATACACAGCTTGATTTAGATCTGAATTGTTCGGTATTAAGTTCCAGAAAATAAAGATACTTCATTCAAAGTTTCTTTTAAAACGCCATGTCCCGCCATCGATATTCGGCTTTTCAAATGTTCAAATGAATTTCGTCAATTAAAGGATACTAATTTTTTTTTAAAAGTCACGGAGGTAAATGGAAAACAAGCTAAAAGGAGGTGCACCCTCAATCAATCAATTAACGCAAGACAACGAAACGCATGCAAGAGAAGAAAAAGCTATCCTGACCGGAAAATAATGCGAAATGCAGTTTCATAAGTTACATACTCTGAAGATTATTGCATTCTACACATTCAAATTCTACTGTCCATTTTGTGCACATACGATGATTGAACCGTAAACGGTCGCGCTTGCGAGTTCGTCGACGCCTTAGGGTGCCGCCCAAGCGTCGCTCACCTCGATCAGCCTCAACCAGAAGAGTCCGTCGTCGGGGTGGAGGAGGCTGCAGGCCTACAACAGATGGTTGCAAACGGGGGGCGCTTATTATCTGCAACTTGTCTACTACTGGTGAAATACCATTCTACCACGAAGAAACGATTGAATATCTCAACTGAAACGGCGGTGCGTAAAAAAATGTTGCGGGAATGTCATGACTTGACACGTTACGCTAATCTGTCAAATATCATGATTCTTACAAGTACAATTAGCGTTGTCTAGCGTCTGCAACACAACTTGCTACAATGTTCAGACAGCCTGAAGTAGAGAATAATTGTGTTAGTTCCTTCAGACCATCACTGGGTCTAGAACAAGGCATCAATGGAGATGTTTATGTTAAGGTCTAGGTTTGGGTCCCAAAGTAAATATATCTTGACTATTACAAACCGCATTTTGCTTATTGATGAAGAGGAGATCACTCCACGACTATGGTACCCTCGCGCTAATGGTTGATAGACTTGATTAGGTCAACTGAGATTACCTGATTGTGAGAGCACATGTTAATGCTCCTCTGTTATCACTAGTCATCGATTCATTACATCTATCATGCTATTTCGTTACTTTCATAATAATAAACGCATAGCCTGGCCAATAAATTAATAATCAGAAATTCTTTAACATTTTTACTACACTTTACATATTACACTTTTACTGATGGCTTATCTACGTAGAAGCCGAAATAGTATATTCGGGCTTGGATTGGTGTCACTTCCTGCTCAATGACAACTCTTTGTAATATCCAATACAATAAGCAATGAGACTACAGGCAACTTCACTTAAAAACAGCAACTACAACTAAAAAAATCTGATAATTCACCTTCAAAGCAATTTTTCAACGTTTTCGTGGATTTCTTTAAATGACTCAGCTGTGTAATCAAATCAAAAGCCAACGTTTGACTGATAGAAGGAATTCCTCTACTTACACATTGAAACAAAAATAGTAATCCATTATTCTGGTATACATTCATTCTTTCGCCTAACGTTTATGATAAATCTTTTTAAGGGTAAAAAACCAGTTTTAAAGGGGCACTGTAAATTAATTAAACTGCAAACTGAAAACATTGAAAGATCTTCCCAACTGAATTAATGCATATTTCTTCTTAATTTACAAAGAATTGCTGTTTTTGAGGACTCTTTCGTTAAATCTCGAATAATCAGTCTTTGAGGTAATTGTTTTGAATAATTTTACAAAACCCATATTTCAATAAAATTTCCTTCAGTTCCCTCCAGAAGTTATGTGACAGTTCACGTCAACCGGTCCTTCATTTACGGAATAACACACCATAAAGGGCGAGGCAAAGGAAGAGTTGCAACCTGCCAGGTGGAGGAATAGCCTGATACGAATCGGAACGCATTAGTACAATTAGCTCGTACTTCTATTATCTCATTGTCTGTACCTCCTCAACGTCCAAAGTGCAATGTTTTCTGCAAAAACTTCGAAAGCGAAAAAATTATGGTTGTGTTTTCTTATTAAAAAATGGAATATTATGACAATCAGTTCTGAAATGAGTGTTACACTTTCCTCGGCGCAGATGCAGTCCTTAGAATTAGAATGAAGGAATAACGTTTTATAAAGTCATCAAAAGGGAATTTTTTCTTATTTCTATGACGGAGTAGGTCCACAGTTTATGAACAATTGAAAATCTTTCGTTATGTACATCAACAGATGTCTAATTTCTAATACATTTCCTTTAATGCAACGGTGAAATCGTCAAAAGAAAGACATACTCTTATACAGGAAGTAGCGATATTGTTAATTCATGACGTTCTCGATAACAATTTTAATAAACTTCGTGAAAACATTAACATTAGACTTCTCCCCCACGTCCCATTGTTTTAGTGTTACAGGCGGTAAATAACTTAACAAATTAACACTGTTTTAATTATATATGAACACCTCGCAGAGAATATTCTATATAGATCGTAAAAAGATGCCCTGAGCATTACGGTAAGAAGCCAGAAAAGAAAACCCATTTTGCCACACCTTAATGTGAAAATTGTTAGGTAAATAACTTGACAGATCAGATCAATCAGATCAGCTTTCCACAGTAAACATTATGTCTGCGAAATTACAAGCATCGTTCAATTTCCATATAAGAAATATTTCATTGTTAAATAGAAACCAAGTACTGCCATTCAAAAAGCGGGCATGATCTTGAAAGCAGAAATGACAGTCCGTCGTTATAACTAAAAGCAATTTGTACGTACTGTTCCTCCTGCCTGTTCCTATATTATTTGATGATTATTTCACATCACGCAATCGTTAGGACTATGGATAGATTGCTGGAAACGAAAATTCAGTAATTAAGAGTTGTCAGCAGACATCTTTTTTTACTACAGTTTAAGGTATTTTGTGTAAAATATCGTTGCATATTGACAGTATCTTATTGCTCGTGAACTCAAAATGATTGATAAAAATGATAATGTATATTTTGTTATGTGGTATATTTATTTTCCCTTCAACTTGAACTTTCAAATGATCTTCATATAAGCACAAGGGACGTACAGATAATAATAAAGACCCTTCCTTATTCGTTTCTTATTTTCATATGTATCAACGAGGATAGACTCTCGCATTATCTGCCTCTAATAAACGATATTTTTAATAGAGTAAAGGAATATTTCCATTCCCCTTTACTACATGTCCTCTACATTTTAAACTACGAATATTGTGACACCTGCAAACTCTAAAAAAGGAGGTACTTTTATGGAAGACCCCCAATTCATAACGAACGAAGATATCTGAGGAGATCTTTGAGAGTGCTTAGGGGGGTACTAATGCAAAAAGCCAGCATACGGTACCTCGTCTTTACATTTACTACACTAAATTTTGAAAAGATTTTTCACAGAACAACAGTGTGCGACCGACACGTTTCATCCCCACTGGCTTATCGCGCCCTCCAGGCAAGCACGCGGCGAAGGCGCGCGTGCTCCACGGGGGAAGCTGCGTGACGCAACAGCAGCGCAAGGGGCGCGGCGCAGCGGGGCGCAGTGCGCCACAGCGCAGCGCAGGCGACTCACCCCGCTGGTGTCCTCGCCGCTGATGGAGACGCGCTGAAAGTGCGGCACAAAGTCGTGCTCCTCCAGCTTGAAGGGATGGTCGGCATCGTCCGGCGCGGGTCCCAGCGACGGCTCATAGTGGCTGCGTTTGTCCTCGAGGTCCTTGGCCACCCTGCGCACACACAGCACCACTCGTCATCGACCACCCCCGGGGCCGCGGCCCCCGCCCACCCGCGGCCCGCCACGCCACGCCACGCCACACACCGCGCCTCCACCAGGTTGTCGCGCAGCCAGCGCTTCGAGTCGCGCGCCCGCCAGAACATGCCGCAGCCGCCACCGTCGCCCGTCCGCTCCCATGGTCCGCCGCTCGCGTACTGATCGATGCGGGAGGAGGCGGCGGCGGCGGCGGCGGCGGCGGCGGCGCGGCAAGCCCCCGGACCCGACACCGCGCCGCCGCCGCCATTCGCAGGCGTTGCACGAGCAGGGGCTTCCTGAGGCGGGGCGGCACAACAAAAGGGCGGGGGCAAGATCGGGCGCTACAAGAGGTGCGCGGGCGGAACGGGCACGAAGGAAAGGCGGAGTCGAAAGGTTAGCTTAGAGGAAGAGACCGATCAAGGCACGTTGGAAAGAGACATAGATGGTAAATAATAAAACGGAGGTTATACGAAAATAAAGAAGCGCGCGGAACGCAGACGGTTAGAGAATCTGAAAGAAAAGATAATGAGAGCAAATACACAGCATAAGGGCTGAGGATATATTAAAATTTGCGATACGAAAGAGATCGTACGAAGAGCTGTTTATGTCCGGGGGGGTATGAGCGCAGTTGAAGGGGCGAGACGAAACACTGAGACAGCACCAAAGCGAGGATGGAGAGCGAAAACGAAGACGATAAGAGAGCAGTCGCAGAGGCATGAGAAGCGAGCAGCACGAAAGCCCTGTGCTCTGGTGGGACATGTGGGAAAGAGTGAGTGGGCGAAGGCATCCGCGGGTACCCTCGCACAAGCAAGACGTGTCGCGTCAGGTGCTGACCGGGCATAGCCATCGTCGCTGCTTCCCACGGGCGAAGGCACGCGCAGCATGAGCTCCCCGGTAATCGCCCACCTCCTGCGCCCGAGCCCACGCCCACGCCCACGCCCACACTGGCCGCTGCCCGTACCCCTAGGCGCACGCACAGCCACTCGCCGCATTCCTCAAAGCTAATCAGAAGCAGTCCACACCGAACGGCACAGGTCTAGGGGAACGGTATCCTTTGCTTTCTTATAAACGCAGCAGAAATGTTAACTTAATCAGCAAATTGCAAATCTAACAACCTGACCTATCTTTAATTAGATAATGCAATCATTAAAACGACACTTCACATGCTCTTTTCTGTCACTTTTTCATCACCATTCGGAGCCTTTAATTTAGTATCTCCATTCCTTGAAATACTACATGGAAATCAATAGCATCCGACTGTAACGTTAAGGCATGAGCTCCTAATTACTTCATCACCCCACTTACCATTCGGTTTGAAGTTCTTACGTACGAATGTTTCATGCAAAGTAAATAGGTGCAAGCAACTGAACGTCTAAAGAACCACCTGTTGGTAGGTGAAAGAATACTTCAAGAATTATGAATGAAAGTTCAGCATTCCGTGATAGGCAAAGAAATACACGGCAACTAAAAGAAGACAACCTCCAGAACTAATTTCAGAGATTTTACTCTCAACAGACGTACCATTTGCAAGTACAAAATAACCTGGAAATAGTGCCTTGATCTAATGTCATGAAAGTTACACGTTATATTTTTGTCGGTACACATTACAGGGGTTTAGTGATCTTCATTGACGGGAAAAGATGGTCTGTCGGAGTTACGAAAACCGAGGGGTAGGTTTACTGTCACGCAACAGCATTTTCCGGAGAGGTCAACAACTCAAGAAAGAGACTTAGGAGATGCGGGTGCAGGTAGAGACTAAGTTAAACAGTTAAACACGCAGCTTTCCAGATTAACGTCTTTGTAACCAGCATATACCCCAGTTATCAGAAAGGAAGTTATCAGTATGCAAATATTTGTTGGATACTACAAACCGACAAGTTTCATAATATTGATCTTGTTATATAAAATAAGGAAACTTTTCAACAAGCATTACTTAGACCCAAGGATTGGGCAAGAGAGGGGCAAATGGCCCCAACCCCAATGTTGGAACAAATTTTTAAAAAATATTTAGACTTTTCATTTCGCGGATCTTTAAATGTATATGATAAAAGAATTACTTTTTTCTGTACTTTGAGGGGAAAAAATTCCTGTACAGTATTTGAGAAACTGAATGTGTGCGAGTCGGAATTCGTCACAAGGTTAGGCCACTTTCTGTGCACCAATCGAATCGCATAAAGTATCATTGGAGACGTCTATGTCTCCTGATAGGGAACTGATAATTTGTTTTCGGACTCTATGCGAAAAAAAAAAAAAAAAAAAAAAAAAAAATTAACAAAAATTGTTGTTGCTTTTTTAACGCTGTCATTTTACTGAGTAAGCCGGGAATTAAACGACGCCACCCAAATAGATCTATTTAGGTTACGTTCAATGCGACAAGTTCACGCCGCGCGACAGATTTCATTTAATTCGCACCCGTATTAACGTAAAAAAATACTGTTTTTGTCAACAGGAACCCAGATGGCTCCCTTGGGCATAAAGTTTACCGGAAACCTACGCACACGGATCGTTATTTACACAAAAACTCAAATCATCCTAGACAAAAACGCGTTATGATCAAAACCCTTTAAGACCGTGCTAAACGCATTTGCGAACCCGATCACTACCCGAGGAACTATAACACCTCGAGAAGGCCTTACAAGCCAACGGGTACAAGCCCAGCGAAGTACGACGAGATCTTCACCCGAAGAGGAAGACAGATGAACATAACCACACAGAAGATGCTCTACTCGGTACTGTCTCCCTGCCCTATGTGGAGACGGTAACTGACGCATAGGAAGACTGTAAACAAGACGCAGGGTTAAACTGTCTTTAAACCCACTCAACAACTCCGTAACATTTTACGTTCGGCCAAAGATCCCCAGGATCGCATGTCCAGCTGGAGTAAACAGAATTCCATGCTCGTGCGGTTCCGTATACATAGGTACTACAGGGAGAAGCTTTAATACTAGGATAAAAGAACACAAAAGGCACTGCCGTCTAAGACATACTGACAAGTCAGCAGTCGCCGATCACGCGCTGTCGGAACGCGGACACTACATGCGCTTTGAGGCGACGGATATTCTCTCCAACACCACACACTACAAGAGACTGCAAATGGAAGTCACCGAGATTTACAAACATAAGAACAATTTCAACAGAAAAGAAGGAGAAAAATTAAACAGTACATAGTACCCGGCACCCCGTAAGACCAAAACTTGGCAGCTAACCAGTACCGCTGACGTGGCCCAATCAGGCGCGAGCGCGCGAACATCGCCTTTCACCATGAATGCAGCTCCCAGTGCCGTGGGAGCGCCAGTCAACTCGGTGCTGCTAACAAGGACACTTCGCCCCCGCCAGCAACGCCACTGATGATGCCTGCCACAGTTGCAGGCGAAACGTTTGGACAAGTCTCCGTTGGACCACGGCCTTCAAACCCGAAAATAATTATGATGTAGAAACCGGCCGTGAAAGCCTACATTGTATGTTACATTGTTTTGCTAGGTTAAATAATTGTTATACTTATATTCTTGTCATGTATATAATTTTCTTTGACAAGGTAATAAGATTTGATATATTAAACAATTTTGCTGTCATTAATTAAATCACAGTAGATTTCCTGTTTACTCTGCGAAATGAAATATACACAACCTAATAGATTCTACTTCGTTTTGCTGCGGTAATTAATAGTTAATTTAAATTTTCTTATCATATATTTAAAGTTCTTCGAGAAGCTAACAAGAATTGATATATTAAATGATTTTGCTATCAGTAAATAAATCGCAGAATATTTCTGTTTACTCCGGGACTTGAAATCTATTTTCTTATCATGTATATAATGTTCTTTGACAAAATAGGGCACACTTAAAACAGAAATTGTAAATATTTTGCTGCCCTATTGATCAAGTTGTAAAAGGACTATTTTATCCAGATTATTTATTGGTAATTAATTAGCAATTAAATGGCAAAAACTTTTGTGGTAGTTTCAGTTATTTTAGTGAGTAAAAATCACAACTATTTTGCTAACTTGATATCAAGTTAGAAAAACTCTGCGTTTCTTTTTTAATACCGTGCAATTAAATAAATTTCTTGGTAATTAGCAATTAAATAGCCAAAAAAGTTTAACAATTTAAACACACACGTAAATTAATTCTTTGCAAATTCTATAGTTCATTCAACATTCTACATATTTTGGCTTCTTTTCGCGGTTTGGTTAGCGGTTTCTGATTCTGGTTAGCGAAGAGCGGTCAAGCGCCTTGGGCGATGGCAGAGGCCAGCAGGTGAGGGAGGCGGCGTTGGGGGTTAGAACATAAGGCCGAGACGTGTCGTGATACCGAGCACACAAAAGCTTGCTCTTCGGGAATGACGCACGCAGTAGCCGACACAAAAGGGGGCGCAGCGGGGGTAGGTCGCGCGCTATGTTGTACCCGAGCAGGCACAAAGACGCGCGGTGTGTATCTCCTTCCGCAGTAAAAATAAAACACAAAACCTCCGTACCACTACACGTGCACACACAACGACGTACCACTACAACGTAGAATTCGAATCAAAACGCGAATTTCCTTTCTCCATTCCTAATTTCCCAAGGACGTAGAAAAAAACAACAGAAACAACACAGAGAG